CACGTAAGTTGCAACACAGTTGTGCTTTTCGCCTAGGCTGAATTTAACCAGTCGATTTCGCCACGCAATCATAACACAACATCCATTGCGCTACTTTCGGTTTCGCGTTGAGTAAAAAGTCAGCCTTTGTTGTATCAGGATATTTTTTCCCCACCTTGGGTCCATGGTTGGCACACGCTTCATTTTGACGGGGGTTCGAAAAACCATGTTGCAAGCTTCATTGGTTTTCCCTGAGTCCTGTAAAGTCTTCGTTTTCCAGTGAAAAAGTAATTCATTCTCCAGCTTGTCCGAAGTAGGGTTGCAAACGGTTGAACGTTCAGTTAGGTTTGTCCGAACGAACTGGTTGCTCAGTGTTTTCGCTTCTCAGTTGCGTCCAAACTGATTCGTACCATGTGTTGATGCGATTAGCATCCGCGTTTTCGATCAGTCTACATCAGTCGCTCTCTGAGACCGGCTTTTTGTCGATCGCACGAATCATGGTAGCATAAGCTTGTGCTGCCCACGAAGTGGTTGCCTACCCCTGTCGAGGGGTGGGAATAGCATTCATTCCGTTAGGTAGTCGCTTTAGACTTAATCTGACACTTCGCCAGCATCAGAGGGGCTTGTTACAGCCTCGGAAATCAGACCCCTGTTGTTTGTAGTGGGTATTGACATAAAGTTCGGTGAGTGGACCGCCTCAGTTGGAATTCATCAGCTCGAAAATTTGGCTAGTTCATGGATGTAACTGCATCTGGTAGGGGTTTTAGAAACTGTACTCAGTCAAACTTCCTTTCCGACCTTGTCTGTCCCGATAAATAACATGATATCGTTTTTGTTGCGTCTCCTTTTCCTTTGTAGTTCTAAGCCTCAACGTGCTCCGTTTGTGCAACGCGTCCCACTAGTCCACTCTCCCGCGGTCGATTCTGCAAAGGGAGTCTCTGTACACGGGACGACACCAAGCCGTCTCTGGTATCGGAGTCAGCGTTTGGACACGGTAAATTTTGGATGAGTTTTCGCGAGTACTAGATAGATTATTGGCTTCGAGGAATGCATACCACTCACGTTGTATGGGAGATTTAAGCCTTTTTCATCTTTCGTATCAGTTGTTCAGTTCTATGGCAAGCCTGTACTAATACGTGCATGCATTACTATCCCCGCTCTAGGCGAGTGCATACCTTAAAGAGTGCATCGACTTCATATCTTCTTGTCATTCATCATCGCTGACAGCAACGCCATATGGGAATACTGGTGCTTCACTGCCTTAGAATGGGGGGAATAAGTGAGGCAGAGAGAGGGACCCAGGACTAGCCTAACGCAAACCTCCTAGGTGCCTCCTCCCACAACACCCAGTCAGACAATCTGGACAGAGATAAACAGCATGAGTTCCACTGACATAGGTTACTCATCCTATCGTTCGCTGTCTCCAACCAACTACAGGGAGGGTCACGTGGACCACATCCTGATAGGCGAACAGTACCAACGGCACCCAAACGTTTTGCAGTATTCTTCATTCCTTCCTGTCATCTCGGATTCTGTCCGCCTTTAGGGTTTCTCCACTCTGAATTAGGCATGAAAAGCAGCGTTCATCTCGACAGGCTGTAACTTGGCACGCATAACACATGGCCAAAGGCACCTTAACTTTCAGTACTGGATGCATTCACTGAGCGAAGTACTCTCTGTTTTACCAAAAGCCCGTTTCCTGATCACCTTGTTGCAGAATTCGTTGGTTCCAGTCGATTCCAGCTATTCTTCTGAGCCATCGGTAATCAAAGACTCGAAGATGTCACAGACACTGCATCAGAAGTGGCACGTCTGGCTACTGCATAACAATGCAGATCGCACTGTAGCCTGATACACGCATCCTTTCAGATCAAGTGAGATGCCTGTTTGACGTCACAAGTGGCGCAATTCTGGCCTCTGAGATTCGTGTACTGACTTCGTCTGTCACACTAGAGAGGGAACTAATGAAACCTCCGGGATACGTATAATGTTCCACAAACTCAAGTGTCGCCACTTAAAGTCCCAGATGCATTTTCAAAGACTGTGATACCTGCAACATGATTTTGCACTGTGGGCACAGAGCACATGACGAAGAACTGGATAACCTTGGTCAGGTTTTCAAGTAATGCTTGTGCTCCACGCTCTTTCTCAAAAGTGACAATAATGTTGACTCCATATTCCAGGTCGACGAGGTTCTCGCTCGGACACCGGGGATTTAGAGACCTTCCAGTGTTCGCTTCATTACCTCGTCAAAAATGAAATTAAACACAAAAGGAGAGAGTAGACATCCACGTCGGAAAGCTTTTGGAGAGCTCCCAGTACAATCGCATACACCTCAATGTAAGTGAATACAGAAAGTAGGGCGTGCTCTCTTGCATAGTCGTGTTGGAAAGAACCAACCGGTCGGCTGAACCCAATGCACTCTTGAAGACAAGGAACACCAAGACAGTAGGGCGTCCCTACACATGTCGTTGCTCTAACACGTGACGGAGTGTGAGGATATGATCCACTGGGTCTATTCCATGCCGTCATCCTGTTTACTACTTTCGGGGCCTCTCTCCACACGCATTCTTCTAACGACGTAGAAGCAAAGAGTATGGTTACAATGGGGTTCAATCTAATTCCACTGTGATTGCGACACTCACTGCGAGGACCATTTTTGAAAATAGAGACCCCTGTCGACTTACACCAGATAATTGGGATGGCCTCTTTCTCCTGGTTAAAGGCAGATAAGTTGGGCAAGCGCTGACTAAGGATCCCTCTTTGAATAGAGCGAGTTGCAGTATGTCCGGACCGTCAGCTCGGTGACACTTGAGGCCCCCAACGTATCCGCTTATTTCTAGGGTCGCGGGGAGTTCCAAGTTGAATGTCCAGGGCTACGTTGTCGGTCGGGAATCCGGCAGAGCAACTGCAATCGACCACTTGAAGTTGTCTTGAAAGTGTTCATGCTCTGTTCATATTCTGAAAGATTTATGCAGGCGGTTGTTGTTTCGCTCGCCGAAGGCTTGTTTTGACCGTTTGCACTTATCAGTTCGCGCACTCTCCCAAAGTTTCACCTCCGTCTTTTCTGCTTTCTGGATCCACAGAGATTCTATATCCGTGTAGATGCTCTTTTTTCATCCAAGGTCTAACAGTTCGTCGAGCGCTATTGTACTCTTGACCAAATTGCGGGTGTTGCTCGTGACTCAGTGCGTAGGCCTAGTTCGTTGAGCTATTCTACGAGCAGAGCTCCTAGAATGCTGCAGGGTTGTGGACAGTATCCTGAAGTAAGAATCAACATCAGATGATATCTTGTCGGAAAGGGACTTCGTTCGGTGATTTCGGTGGACTTGTCTCATACGAAGGTTTGTGAGCTTCTCAATGGTGTGCGCATCTTGTCAGTTCCTGTAAATTGCAACGGGAAGCAGGAGCGAACAAGCTCATGATTCGAATCCAAATGGGTGTGCCAAAACCACCGACAGTAAGTAACCCAAGACACCTATGACTAATGGTGATGTGGCCCATCTGCGTTGGACGTTGACTCGCATGCGGGGCGCGCCGTATAGCCAGCTGGCTTTAGTTAATTCCTAAGTTAGTCCTTCAAAAAAACAGCCTGTGGTCAGCTGCTAACTACATCAGGCGTTCGCCGTTCGTCCGTGCGTTTCAGTTGCGTTCCAAGGCGACTACCCAGCTGAGCCTCAGTAGCACTAAGTCTTCCTACTCGCATGTTCATATCTCTGAAAAGAAGAACAATATCTGAGCTCTTAGGCCATCGCAAAAAGGCGCTGAGATCATCGTTATACATGTCTTTGAGTGTATGCTAGGTATCATTCGCTTAGGCGTAAGTGACCAAACTGCTTTTCAGCTCGGCAGTGTCGATCAGCCCCCAGCATAACTAGCGTCGTTTGCTTCTGGATCCCGGTCGAGTCAGCTGTGGATATTGGAGCTAGTGATGTTCTTATCATTCGTAATCCGTGAAATTCGGATTATTCGTTGGAACGAAGGATCATCCGAGCGACTAGCCTCTCGAGTTCTACGCCTTATCCATGCTAGGGTGCCCAGGTGTTATTGAGTTGTTTCCATATGGAGGTATGTTGTTCCAAGAGGATACTGATCTATCGGCGTGAGATCCGACCTTCCGGCGTCGTTAGATTATTCTCGATTTAAAAGAAGGTGCCTCATGAAACTTAGCAGAACTTCTTCGTATGAAAAAGGTATAAATTTCTCTACAAGCAGTATAACTTGTGTTCCGTAAGGGGTTTGACCCCTGGAATCGGTTCACATCATATTTTCTGTTTGCTGTTCTCTTGGTTGCCCAAGTTCGTTGGAAGGATCTGGACTGCATTCTGATACAGAAGTGATTGATCAGCTTCCTGGACTAGCGGCACCAGAAATGCTTCATCGTAACTAGTTTGTGGCCACTGTTTCGGCTCCCCATCAGCCCAAGCTTCACCGTGTTTCCACTCTGAATAGTTTCGATATCCTCTCGATATAACTCAGCGGTTAAAGCACGAATTTACTGACCGGGAGGTGCGTGGTTCGAATCCAACCTCAGCATCCCGACTGCTCCTGTCTAGGCTTGGGAAACCTGGTAGTATCTCAGCCTTCGTGCTTCCTTCGGGTGACATGACAGCTAGGCACCGGAAGGATGTTGCAGCTAAGCGACCATACTACTCAATTTCTAGTTGCTTATCCTGATAGAATGGCCGTTTCCTCTCGTGAATATTCTTTCTCGGTCACTTCCGCCGGAACTTGCGCACCTTCTGTGTACATACGTTTTCTATCTTTTTCTGAGTGGACGAAGCATGAAGAGACTGACCAGAGTGCCACATGTCCATGTTACGGGGCACAGCTTGACTCTCTGAACAATATTCTGATGGCTATCATTTGAAAGAAAGGTAACGTTCATTCCGATAACTTCGCGAGACGTGTCAGGAGTCGCCATGCTTCCAGTCTTATTTTGAATCGTTCTACGAAGTTTTTATCCACCTATCGTGGCCGTATCTAACTCTCAAGCTGAATGGCGAAAGTGAATCACGGATGACTGGTTTGATGTCTTGAATCCTACGTTACACTGTTCACCAGCACTCGACTGTGTGCTTTTGATGACTCAACGTACGCAAGAAACCATTTGCATGATTATCGGTTTCTTCAGTGCATGTGCTGTTTGTTGATAAGCAATGCGACTGTACCAAGGTGTGACGGTTAAATCACAGACTAGTCATATTGACGTTATTTAAAATCTAATAGGGCTCTCATGCCAAACATAGCGCTTCGTCGGAGCCTAGTGTTTCGTGCGTTCTTCAAGCAGGGGGTCACTCCACGTGACATGTCTACCCTACCGGTTGGTGATTGGCATGTGTGGTGGTAACGAACCCGGCAAGCAATGTGATGACGAATCCACCTGACGGGGCGCAAATGTAAAAACATACTTAATATAATCTAAGTATGCTAAATTCTCGGTATCGTTGAAAAATTTTTGGATAAAATTCATTTTAGGCGGCGAAAATAGCACGAAAAACACGTAATCATGTATTTTTTCCGGTACTTCATCAAGAAATGTAAAAGTTTTGCACAAGATGGTCAGCTGACATTTATGTCTGCTACCAGCTGCTCCCACTGGGTACGTTTATTACCAAATAGAAGACGTCAAACAACTAACTGTCGTCCTAATTACTCAAGGATACGTGTTGGACTATCGTTTCCACTTAACGATCGATTAGTTTCAACACCGTTCATTCTGAAGCGAGACCAAGGATTGCCAAACAGATCAGTCGACCATAAAATCCTCACGGATTTTAAAGACAAAGTTGCGCGTGGATAGCGACTGACCAATCAGCGAAGTTTTGCACGTGAATGAAAGGCAGGTTATGTACTCAGCTGGGTAGGTGGTTGACTGTTTCAGTTTTTACAGACGACACTTGGGAGGTAATCAGATAAGACTGACTGGGGCGAGGTAACTCAGTGGTTAGAGAGCGAATTTACCGACCGGAACGTCTGTGGTTCGAACCCGACCTCTGTGTCTTGACCTTGGGCAACTTGTCAGTATCCTAGCCTTCATGCTTCCTTCTGAGGGCATGGGAGTTAGGCATCGAAAGGGTGCTGCTGCTGGTGGTGAACGATTTTTTAAAGACTGAACACATTAAGGTATGCTTTCAACAGTTCTCAGCAGGGCTCCTTTGATTCCAACCTCTAATGCCCATAAACTGAAAGATTACCATGGGTAAGTAATACTGTGCAATCCCGGACGACATAAATTCAGAAAGTCATATGATTTGGTGATATAAATTCGGAATCGCAACAGACATAGCTGCACCACTGCTGTCGTTCGTCTGAATAACTGAAATTTATTCAACATTCACCCCCATGCATAGCTGTTTTTTACACTACACTGTTGACGCTTTACCACTGTGTCACAGTCCGATCTCTGGCCAAATCGCCCTCACCCTTCATTGGGCAAAAGGGACTGTGAGGTCTTATCGGATCACGTGGTCAATCCAGAGCTATCTGGAGTTCACAGACATCAAGGTTCATGCTATTGACATCCATTGACAAATCTTCTAATCTCCGCCAGCTCCGCATCTCGTACTTCACTCGTAATGCACTGTTTTTCACGTTTTCTCTACCATGGTTGCTTTCTTATACTTTGCTGTTCTTTTGGTTCCTTAGATTCGTGACTTGTCCGGTTCTTTCTTCTCACGGCAGTGTCTGTGCCGAATATTGACAGTTGATGGATCGGTACGTACCCAATACTGCCTTTTTTCTGCGCCCTTGTTGGTTCGATAACTATCTGGCCTATTTAAGTAGCTATTCTAGCATCTCACTGTTCCTATCCTCCTAGGATCAGTCTGTCTCTCCTTTCTCGACATCCACTGCGTGCTCCCATCTTCATTTTAAGCTGACCAAGTCGTATCAGTGGAAGGCGTACTACATGTGCATTGGAGGCAACGAGGTCCGGTTTGTCAAGTCTTCATGGGCCTATCTTAGCTCTGGACGTAACGCAAGGGTAAGTTGAAGAAACGTTTTTTTTATCCCCTCATACCTCTGGCCCGATTTCCTACTAGAGATAATTTGTGTATGCACTTCACCCGCCCTATGGCTGCCGTTTTCGCCACCGGCCTTGGTAACAGCTCGAAATGATCAAACTGATTGTAGCAGGGAGAAATGTTTTGATTTCTAGAGTTGTATAGTGTTCAAGCTGATGTCAAATTCATCTTCTTACCCTACCTCAGCCTCAACTTGCGACAGTTAGCCTGGTGGTTCTCTACCAGACCTTACGAGGCTTGCTGAAAATTTACCAGATACAACAGTACACATCTCATCATGGCTTTCTGATCAAAACTTACTCTTTCTGGGCGACATTGTTGGGTATTCAAATGGATCTGTCTTGGGTGCACAGACCAATACCACTAGAAATGTATCTTCTTCCCTGCTATCTGATATTTGAACGACATTTTCACTATTCAGAAACAATGGGAATGAAGGAAAAGAAACGAACAGGACAGCAGATAAAAGCTGTTCAAAGCGGGTCAGAATTGGGATTTTTTGTAACTTTGATCATTATCAGGATGGACGACGTTGAACGAAGTTCGATGTGATCACCTAGACGATTGGGTTGATTAAATCGATAAAAAAAATAATGTAGCATACGTACATCAAATACTGCGTCCTGTAGGGATCATAGGTTGTGATGAGTGTCCCTCAGTGAGGTAGGTCTTCTGCTCCTGTATACCATCCAATAAGCCGAGGAGATAGACGAGGCCTCTTGTAACATACATCCACTTTTGTAACGTTGGATTTAGTTGGGCTTTGGAGGTCCGTCACGAAGAGATAACCTTGGCGTGGTGTGACGGTTTGCGCACTTCGCTTGTCGACCCGTTGAGCTATACTGTAGGTTGTCCCCGCGACACTCACAGGGTCTCATACTAGGTTGGTCAATGGGTAGGAGTCTGACGAACACAGTCTCCTAGTCCTCCAGGTTGGGGGTTGGAACATGTATAGCGACTTGTTCCGTAGAAAAGGTAATGCATTTGCCCTTCCCCGCCAAACACCGCTGCCTTGCGGTTAGGCTTTTGAGGACCCTAATCGTCTTCCTGTCTAGGTCTGGGCGCCCTGGCAGTATCCCAGCCCACGTACAACCATGAACTGCACATACTTAAATAAACTCATGCCACATCGGCCGTCGCGTGGTGCCATCAGCCGGGTCGCCTTACTTGCTGCATACAGCAGGGCGGGTAAGCGAAAACAGGCTACTGCTGACGCCT